CGTGCAAATCACCACGCGTCGAATCACCACGCATCGAATCACCACGCATGAGAATCACCACGCGTCGAATCACCACGCGTGAGAATCACTACGCGTCGAATCTCCACGCGTGCAAATCACCACGCGTCGAATCACTACGCATCGAATCACCACGCGCGAGAATCACCACGCGTCGAATCACCACGCGTGAGAAACACCACGCGTCGAATCACCACGCGTGAGAAACACCATGCGTCGAATCACCACGCGTGAGAATCACCACGCGTCGAATCTCCACGCGTGCAAATCACCACGCGTGAGAATCACCACGCGTCGAACCACCACGCGATAGAATCACCACACATGAGAATTACCACGCATTAAAAATTCCACACATTGCACTACCATACGTGAGAATGTAATTACACATTACATCTCCACATCGTTACCAATTTACGCTTCCAGGGTGCATGATTTTCAGCCAAAGCTCTATGTAGTCCATATACCATTGACCTAGTCCACAATATCACATCCAAAAAAAGCAAACTTGTCAAAAGTGTCGATGACACCTTTACTGAAAGTATCAATGGGTTCGCAAAAAATATGCAAAGTAGATATTCCTGTTTTTGGACTTGGCACGTGTAGATCATAGCCGTGACCTTTTGACTGCAATTTCAGATTTTCTAGTAGAGAAGGGTAAGGCGGATGGAAAGTTGGTTAATTATAATTTTTGTTGAAATTTAGGCAATTCGAGTTGTGAAAGTGCGTGAAGCTGATAAAAGAAAGCAGATGTGTTAAAAGTATTTTTGCATAAATGGAAGAATTGTGAGTCTTGTTATTATTGATTTATGTACAAAAATATGATTATTAAATTTTCAGTAATGATTAGAGAAATACTATTTAAAGTCTTGTTATTTTAATTTGTTAGAGTTTTATGTAATTAGAGCATTACACACATGTGCAAGTTCATTCAATTAATGACTAAGGAAAATTGTAACGTCCATTCTCTTAAAGATTCCTTCGCGATTCAATGCTCGAGATTAACCTACTTTTTCGATTTCGACCGTGACAATGAGTGAAAGAACGTAACAAAAAGTATACATTGAACGAAATATATTCTAATTAAAATGCTAGTAGGCATTCCAATTCGTAATGAGTTCGCATGACTCACAATGAACGTAATAAATTTCTTGATTCACTCATTGTCCTTTCGGTTTCTAACAAGGTTAGACGTTCCACGATTAGAAATCGCTTCAATGATTTTCATATACATATGAATTCACTTAAACATATTAAACACGATTGAGATAATGATGAATTTTGCGTTGATTAAATTTTAATGTCAAATGCAAACTTGATCTTCTAAGATCTCGATATGTAAATATTTCCTGTGCGATACTGGAACGTTAAATATGTAATTCCTTCTGATTGAACGTAGTCTCGGTACATCACTTTACTTTCCATGAAGGTCGTTGCATGAATCAACCTGCAGAATTTTTGCTACTCGCGACTTTCCCTGATTTCCAGAATAAAACGGAGAGATCCACGCTAGTCATCGTAATCCACGAGAGGTATTTTGATCATTAGATAAAATAAGTACTGTTAGGAAAACCGTTTCTCTTGCTTGAAAAAGAAATAATAGAAACGACTGCAAATTTCATTTGAAAAATCTCTTTCAACCTCTTGGAAAATTTATGAAAAATTCGAGTCAGAATGAAGAAGTGATGTTATGAAAATAATTAATAATTTTTTTATGCAATAGCCAAAAAAGATGATCATTTGGTTTGAATAAAAATTATAGTCATAGATGGAATGAGATTGAATGGTACTCTGAATATGAATTATATACTTGTACACAATTGTATACTTGCATAGAGTATGGAACATTAATGAAGTACAGTGTAGTTGAAGTTTAATTATCCATCAAGAATTTGAAGATCAAGAAAGCTAATGTTGCATAACGCATCGGTTATCTAAAGGTAATAGTCCAATTAGTCTCCAGTAATCTCTGCGTCAGAAGCTCACAAAACGTCCGCTAAATTGTTCGAATGCTCTAGAAACCAGTTTACTTTCGTTAAAAATCGCTCCATCGCTTTCTTGCGATGATTCGTTCGGCATTATAACATGTACACCTTTCACCTACACATTTTAAACTAAAACATTGAAATTTCTTCGATCCAGTTTCGTGACCTTCAAATATCGAAAACTTGAATCATCACGCGCGGTAATTTGATGCGTGGAGATTCGACGCGTGGTGATTCTCATGCGTGGTGATTCTCACGCGTGGTGATTCGACGCGTGGAGATACGACGCGTGGTGATTCTCACGCGTGGTGAATTCGACGTGTGGTGAATTCCACGCGTGGTGAATTCGGCGCGTGATGGATTCGACGCGTGGTGAATTCGACGCGTGAGGGATTCGACGCGTGGTGAATTCGGCACGTGAGGAATTCGACGCGTGGTGAATTCGACGCGTGAGGGATTCGACGCGCGATGAACTCGACGCGTGGTGATTCTCACGCGTGGTGATCCGACGCGTAGTAATTCGACGCGTAGTGATTCGACGCGTGGTGATTCGATGCGTGGTGATTCGATGCGTGGTGATTCTCACGCGTGGTGATCCAACGCGTAGTTCTTCGACGCGTGAAGATTCGACGCGTGCTAATAAGTCCTAATTGACAATGAACGTCGTCAAAGTCGACAACGAACAAGAAAGAAACGATCGAACCTATCATGAGAAAGCCAATTGCAAAATTCCATCGCAACCGCACCCCTCTAACTTAGATTTCCACTTGTTTCGCATAATTGTTCCTCGAAGTTGCTTTTACCTTTGACGCACCGCCGATTAATTAACCTCGTTTACGATTGTTTATCAACGTTCGAGGATGTTCGTTTAATGCAAGAGTCAGCCGAGGTTGTTGCCAGGGAACGAAATAGAAAGTGGCGATACGAAAAGAAAAGGGAACACAAGGAGCGATGATCTTCGAGAACGGGAAGGTGAAGAGAGATCGAATATTCGTACGTGTTTCTGCACTCGAGGTGAGTATACCGTGCCCTTTCACTTCTTCCATTTTCGTCTTCCGGTACCCGGAGAGATTCGAACGCTACCCTGTACTTTTGTCTTCTCTCACTTTCCACTTGGCCTTGATGGACCTCCGTTGACAATGACAGTGCAAGTGCAGAGTTAAATTGCTCTGATGGACAAGTGCAACTTTTAACAACAATATATATAGGTGTGTTCTGTTCAAGATTTACATTTCAAACAAATACCATTTGCATTTTTATTAGCCTTTGTATTAAACGGTGCATTGACATGAGTGATATAATTTCACTTTAAAAAATAAACTTGATTTTATCAACCGTGGTATTCATATTTCTTCTATGCATATTTAGCTCATGTACATATAAGCAATCTTCACCAAACAATTTTACACATGAGTTCTCAAAAATATTTAAGTGAAACAGAACTGTGGTATTCATATCTTTTCTATGCATATTTAGCTCATGTACATATGAGCAACCTTCACCAAACAATTTCCTACATGAATTCCCAAAAATATTTAAGTGAAACAGTCTTGTATATATCAAGCTATAATAATTGTATTTAACTTAATATAATATAACTATGTAACTTTATATTTAACAAATGTAACTTTATAACTTTATATCTAATAAATATATTATACCTTTACGTAACATGATCCCTGTGAACCCAACTTTCGATGCATCAGTTACATCGGTACCCTTTAACCTTTCGATTCCCGAGAAACTCGAGATGTTCCAAGAACCGTCAGGACAAAATAGCTTCACGCAAAGAGCGAAGTAACCGTAACGGCAATACCGAAAATGGATGATAAACGCTACTTACACAGTGTCCTTTTATGATCCGCTCTTTATGCAGTTGCTAAGGTTTCCACTGTTGCAACCCGTGCAACAGGATTCTCCTTGTTAACTTGTTTTAATTACTGTCTTCCTCAGTTTTTAAAGTGCTTTCATTTTCACTCCAAGAGTAGCTATACACTTTTTTGAGTTTCATGAAACTTTTCGATGAAGATTTACACTTTTCGAGCAGGTGACACGTGTTTCACTAAATATATTAAGAGGTCAAGTTCACGTTGACTAATTTAATATCAGAAAAATCTGAACAGTTAAAAAAGTAAAAGTCTGAACAGTTAAGAAAGTAAAACTCTGCACAGTTAAAAAAGTAAAAGTCTTAAAGTTAATCATCGTTCAATCTGAATCATCTGAATCATTGCCCTAAGCTTAATAAAGCTATCGTTACATAGAAATCACTCCAGTTTCGTAAGAACTGATCAGATCTGTACCACGAAGTTTCCACCGGTATTTTTTGCGTGTTTTCCTTTCGCAGCTTGCGTGAGAGACCTTATAAAGAAACTACACGTTCTGTCTAGATCTTTCGCACCGTTTTATCAAGTTGTTCGTTGTCTTGAATAATTGTATGCCCTTTTAAAGGCGCCGTCTTTTATTACACCGAGAATTCGATACTATCTTTCGAACCTGACTGAACTAAATGTAAACTGTAGCAAGTTTGAAACTCCTTTCGCTCTGCATTCTTTTTCTGAGACTTCTTGTTTTTGTAGGACTTTCACGAAGCTTCTGAAGTACCGACTCGTTTTGGATTTTAAGAGACACTTGTATTCATTAATTCGAACAAATGTTTACTGTAATATTCCTGGAAGGTTATATTCCAGATATTGGAGTTTATGTTAGTTTATGAATTTGTCTTTATTTTGATGTTGTAACATATACATATGTTTATACACGTGTGTACATTACGCATTACATATTACATGTTTGTAATTATTTCTGTAATTCTTTTATGTATTCAGAAGGTTATAATTCTTTTGTGTATTCAGAAAATCATAATTGTTTTATGTATTCAGAAAATCATAATTGTTTTATGTATTCAGAAAATCATAATTGTTTTATGTATACATAAAATTATAATTGTTTTATGGTTTCAGTACATGGAAAATAAGAATATCAAGCTTCACATTACACATATATTCGATAAAAGATCAAATATAATTCTTAGATAAAATTAGAGGTTAGGATGGCTAAAGTATTAATTTTTATTCGGTGCTTAAAATAGTTATTGTTCGAAAGGAGAAGGCATTTAGCAGAGTGATTGTTCCTCGGCTCCCATAACCAGCTGAGAGCATGAGCGGACGAAGCGGAGGAGAGCTGAAAGGATCGAGAGGATCACGCGTCCTCTCGCGATAGAGCGACTTTCACGACTTTCGAACGTTTCAGCCGGTCATCGGACTTCGAGTGAAAGTAAACGGGGAAGATGTGATCCTCACGACCGTGGCATTCAATCGTTATCTTTCTTTTTTTGTTAAAGCAGCTGGCCGATCGATGGACCGTTCGATCGGCCAACACTTTGAACACCGTGGGAAATATCTGCACGCCATTAAATCAATGTATCGAACAATATGAATCTCAAACTTTGAAATCAATCAAAAAGTTAACTTTCCTTGGCATTAAAAAATACTTCAAATAATATTGTCGATATTTCAGGATTTTTTTAATATTAACAACTTTTCATAATTATAAACAGTAGTATTAATATTCTACAATTGTTCGTACAGTTACAAATGTTCTATTATTTACAACATTACAGGGATACAAACATTTTAGAGTTCATAATTTTTCAACGTCATAAACGAATGAGAATTAACAATATTTCAAAATGATAAACCTTTTAATATTTACAGATTTACAAAATTATAAACGTTGACAATATTTCAGATTTATAAGAATTTCAGTATTGACAATATTTTACAGTAATAAATGTTCTAATATCTACAATGTTTGCCCTCAATTAAGTGCTGTCAATTAAAAAGCCTGAAATATTGATCGAGTTTGAAAACGTCTGACTACACTTGTCCATTTCTACTGCGTCACTTAGGGAATCCATTTGAGTAAGAGCCACAGAGTACTAGTAATTGTATTGTAATTACTTTGATAATTTGACGGAGAAATTATTGCGTGTTCACCGGTGACAGACGGCCTTCAAAAGCCTTCTAATTAAGCGAAGTTACGGCGAGGTGAACATGAACTTGATTTACAGGCTTCTGCAATGGAAATGACCGAATTTGTAAAGTGTGACGATGACTTAATTGGACAAGGAAGTCAGAAAGTGTATTTTATGTATTTTCACCTAATTATAGTGGTAACTTCTTAATGGTCGCCTTCGGAGAAAGGAAAGATACGAAACTTTATTCCCACTGGGGAATAATTTTAAAGCAGTAATCTTTGGACGGATACTTCTTCCTCTTTAGAGCTAAAGTTCGTGCGATTTTAATGTTTGTAAAAATAACTCGTAAAAAAAATTTCAGATCAAATCAAGAATACGGTAGACTCTCGTTATATTGCAATAGCATCATAATGAGTGACGTGGACCATTGTGATATCAAGCATAGCTATTACAAGGTGTGAAATAACACACATGTTACATTCTAACGTGTTACAATTTGTGACAGTATATGAAAATTCTATCGTGTGGTACAAGTGGCAATATAACACGTGGTGATTCTAACATGGTGTAGTTTCAACGTGGGATGATTATAATGCACAGCAAATTTAACATGTGACAATATAACACATGCTGATGTAGTGGTTTTATGAGGTTGAGCAATGAGAGGTGTGCTTCCCACCCGTGGCAATATAGCACATAGAAATTCTATCGTGTAATTTAAACGAGTAGAAACTCTAACATAGGTACTCTCAACACGTGGCGATATAACACACAGAAATTCTAACATGTGTCAAACTCCATCATTCCCCAATTCCAACATTCCCCAATTCCATCATTCCCCAAATCCCACGATTCCTAATTTCAAACATCCCGACACCCACATTCCCCAATTCCACATTTCCCAATTCCACATTTCCCAATTCCTACATTCCCCAATTCCGTCATTTCCCAATTACACATTCCCCAATTCCATCATTCCCCAAATCCCACGATTCCTAATTTCAAACACTCCGACTCCCACATTCCCCAATTCCACATTTCCCAATTCCTACATTCCCCAATTCCGTCATTTCCCAATTACACATTCCCCAATTCCATCATTCCCCAAATCCCACGATTCCTAATTTCAAACACCCCGACTCCCACATTCCCCAATTCCACATTCCTCAATTCCCACATTTCCCAAATCCCAATTCTAACATGTGTCAAACTCTACATATGGTACTCCCAACACGTGGCGATATAGCACACAGAAATTCTAACATGTGTCGAACTCTACGTATGGTACTCCCAACATGTAGCAATATAACACACAAAAATTCTAACATGTGTCAAACTCTACATATGGTACTCCCATGTGTCGATATAACACACAGAAATTCTAACACGTGTCAAACTCTACATATGGTACTTCCAACATGTAGCGATATAGCACACACAAATTCTAACATGTGTCAAACTCTACATATGGTACTCCCATGTAGCGACATAACACACAAAAATTCTAACATGTGTCAACCCTGCATACTCCCAACATGTGATACAACACATTTTCAGCAATATAACAAAAGTCTACCATAATGCATTGAAGAGTTGCCCATAATCTAATTGCACATGGATCTCCATGCATGTCATAACGAATTAAAGTCTAAAGAACCTACTAGCCATGAACCGTCTGTACGACCGAAGGTACAACCATGTTCATGGGAACCGAGTAAGTCTGATACTGGTTAGTCTGAATAGGCATGGTTCGAAAATCCTGGGGTTGTTCCATGACCTCCTCCTTCACGTCATAGCCCTTAGGCTGAGCATAGTTCAAGGTCCACCCGAGAGATCCTCCGAAGTTAGAAGACGGAGTCAAGGAATAACCTCCTGTCAACTGCTGATTGTAATTATTTCCCATAGTGGTTGCAGAGTTGGAGAAAAATTGTGGCCAGGACTTTGTCATTTCTTGCAGCTTCTGCTGATATTCGTCCAAGGCTACCGAGTCTCTTAATACTATTCCTTCTTTACTGCCACCGATTGTGGCTGATGGTATGCCGGTTGGCATCACAACGCCACCTTGTGGCACCGGAGAGATGTTCTTGTACAATTCTGGTTTCTGCTGCAACAGAAAGAGCTCGTCCTTGTCCACAGCGCCGTTGTAGTCGACGGCACTGTTCGCTGCTAGGTTCTTTTCTATGGACCTCGATGTGTAGAACTTCTTCTCGTCGTTTCTTCTTTCGTTGTAATTCAAGTTGTCGGCGTTTGTGTAGTATGTTTCTGATGGAGAGGACTCGTAGGAGTGTGTCGATGGAGACTCGTAGGAATGTCCTGATAGGGAGTAGTCCGAACCTGAGGAGGTGAACGAAGTGGCTTCGTAGTCTGCATCCGAGTGTTTGTACTCCTGGGACCCTGGTCTGTAACGATTTAGAATTAAGGTTTTTATTCGGTGGAAGGAGTGTAAGTTACATGGAGGGCGTAGATTTCTACTTGACAGTAGAACGTTCGGTTCGTGGTCAGACATTGCTCGCAATTCTCTGCACTTATGTAATTTAATGACTGAGGATTGACAATTGATGCAGTTTGTACACTCGAGTGCAACGTATCATTTCTTCGGATTACGTGACAACATGCTATTCGTTTTTTTAAACTATCGTTTCAATGTTTATGATTATTGAAGCTAGTGTGTAGTCTTATGTGATTCTCGGGTGATTACATTAATTATTCTAAAAAGAGAAAGCTATGAGATAATGCATGCGCTAGTACATTGCGCTATAGCATCCAAATCCTTTGCATAATAAATAAATAATACATAGAAAATGACTTAGTATATTGCTGTCTACAGACTAAACTAATACATCATATTTATAAATAATACATCACATTTAATTCCAAACATATGAAATTTGAAATCATCCAATATATACACAAATCTAACTAAAAATCACCCTTTATACAATATTTATATGTATACGAATTTGTATATATTTGTCCTCATCATCCACGAACAGAAAATAATCTTGTCTGAACTTAATCTAAACTTAACCTAAACTCCTCATTAATACACAAATTTTGATCTTACCTTCCCCGACCATAGGAAAGAGCGTCCTTGACCCGATCATAGGGGATGTAGCCCTTGCCATAAGAAATAGCGTGACGTATACCTTTCCCATAAGGTATATGAACATGATTCACCTGCTCGTGACCTTGGTCAAAATCGTCTCCTCCATGAGGGAAGGGCACATTCCCATGCCCAGGTCTTTTGTGATAATGAATGGGTGGGCTATAGTATTTATGATAGTGCTCGCCATCGTGAGAAGATTTTCTGTAACGCATAGGACCGGGTCTCCACGGTGGTCCGAAACTTCGTCTGTTTTGCTGAGGGATCACCAGCACCACCTTGTTACTGAAGAGCAAAACGGAGTAATGTACACGTCGATAAGATTCGTGATCGTGAGAAATTTGTCATGGTCCGTTAAACGTGAATCGCGTACTTACGTGAGAACGAGGAGAGGCTCGCCGATTGTCAGAAATAGAATGCAGAAAGCCTGGAAAGATTAATTGAAAGTCAATTTCACGATCGAAATGAAGTGGTTTGAAATTAGATTGCTGTTATATTACCCACTGTATTATCTTAACCTTTGAACCTACTCAAACGCACCTAGGTTCAAGAGGCTGTCAATAGTACCCTCTACTTGTTCAGTTCCCATCAAATCTACTCTAATGTATACCAGATACAGAAGAACCTCTATGTCACCCTCTAAATCAGTCAGAAAATAAAATACCACCATATGTCTTATCCCAACTTGCTCAGACCTCATATCTACTCAAATATACCTAGGTCCAAAAAAACCTCAATATCATCCTCCAAATTTTTCAGAAAATTATGTACCACCCTGTCTTGTCTCAACTTTCTCAATTCTCATGCAATTTATTCAAATGCATCCTAGACCCAAAAGAACCCCAATATCATCCTCTAAACCAGTCACAAAATTATGTACCACCTTATGTCTTACCTCAACCAACATAGTTCTCATGAAATCTACTGAAATGTAGGTCCAAAAGACCATCGACATCATCCCCGAAATCCCTCAGAAGATTACGTACCAATTCCAAACCTCCAAAGTTACAAATCTCCCCTTTACAAATTTAACACTGAATCAGAACCACGATCCACACATACCCCAGATATCTGTCCTGTCCACAAACCCTCGACCCATCCACCGTCAAAAATAACTCGCTTACCAAAAACCGCATGTTGTCTCCTCAGTACAAGAGCCTCAACCAGAAAAATCTCCTAAACCGATAGCAGATCCTGGAGTTACAGAGCTGGACACACGATGGGTGCCGTTGGATCCGTTGGTACTTGCGGCCAGAGCCAGCGATGTTCCGTGTACTTCAACCGATGCCGATAAATTGCGGGAGGTCCGTGCGGATCAGTTCTCTTTTATACAAGATAAAAAGAGCATAATCGTGGCTGGACGAAGGAGCTACCTCCCACCGGGTGGCTAGAACCCTGGAAAGAGCCCGTTAGAGTCCCCGCGAGGATGGAGAAGGATTGGCCGCGGGAAGCTGGCGTGCCGATACGAAACGGACAGTCGAGCACACCGTTACCTGGACATTTTTGTTTCAGGGGAAATCGACGCTTTCTTCTGTTGGCGTTCACTTGGCGCTGCGGCTAGGAGATTTGAACGTCAGCCTCTCGTAGAAGAGGTTGACCGCGCCCCGATGTGCTTTCCAAAACGCGAGCAACACGAGTAAACGCTCCACATTTCTTTGTCTGCCGCTTCACGCCTCTTGGATGGATGCATAAATGAGGATACGGACGGGTGGAAAGATGAGAGATTGGACTGATGAGAGTTTAGGTGGGTGAGAATTTGGATAGATGAGAGGTTGGATGGGTTGAGTTTGGATGAGTGAGAGTTTGGGTGGATGAGAGGTTGGATGGGTTGAGTTTGGATGGGTTGAGTTTGGATGGGTGAGAGTATTGGATGGGTGAGAATTTGAATGAGTGAGAGTTTGGATGGGTGAGAATTTGGATGGGTGAGAGTTTGGGTGAGTGAGAGTTTGAATGAGTGAGAGTTTGGATGGGTGAGAATTTGGGTGGGTAAGAGTTTGGATGGGTGAGAGTTTGGGTGAGTGAGAGATTGGATGGGTGAGAATTTGAATGAGTGAGAGTTTGGATGGGTGAGAATTTGGATGGGTGAGAGTTTGGGTGAGTGAGAGTTTGAATGAGTGAGAGTTTGGATGGATGAGAATTTGAATGGGTGAGAGTTTGGATGGGTTGAGTTTGGATGAGTGAGAGTTTGGATGGGTGAGAGTTTGGATGGGTGAGAGTTTGGGTGAGTGAGAGTTTGGATGGGTTGAGTTTAGATGAATGAGAGTTTGGATGGGTGAAAGTTTGGATGGGTGAGAGTTTGGGTGAGTGAGAGTTTGGATGGGTGAGAGTTTGGGTGAGTGAGAGTTTGGATGGGTGAGAATTTGAATGGGTGAGAGTTTGGATGGGTGAGAGTTTGGATGGGTGAGAGTTTGGATGGGTTGAGTTTGAATGGGTGAGAGTTTGGATGAGTGGTTGGATGGGTGAAAGTTTGGATGGGTGAGAGTTTGGGTGAGTGAGAGTTTGGATGGGTGAGAGTTTAGATGGGTTGAGTTTGAATGAATGAGAGTTTGGATGGGTTGAGTTTGAATGCATGAGAGTTTGGATGGGTTGAGTTTGAATGGGTGAGAGTTTGGACAAGTGAACGACGCCTTGGGTAAATGATTGTACATGTGGATAGCTCAGCGATGACATTCAGCGTAATTCATAATTGCAACCTTAGAGATTTGACAATGTAGAGTCTACAGACCTGGAGATCCATTTCATATAAAGAACATAAATAATAAAAATATATGAACATAAAAGTTCAGAAACTCCAACAATCCCATGAAAAGCGATAGATACCCATAACGCAGGGCTGATCCCATGCAAGATGAAATATCATATTCTCGCATCTTCTTCCCGTCTCGATTAGAAACGAACGTTTCACTGAATTAATTTCTTTTTTCATCTCTCACTCATTGTATACCTATACGGTTTCACATTCACGCCGTTACGGTCCACATACACGAATTCACGCGCGGGTGGGTGTGTCGTTAACGTAAAAAGCGCAGCCCTGCCTTCAATTAACTCATTCACGCGATGGACTTTCTTGTTGCCGGTCGTTCATCTTTCGAACGTCGGTGTCGAGATGGAAAACGCCTTTGAAAGTCATTCAATTCTGAAATGTTCGATTTTCAAAGTAGACGATCGAGAAACGCTCTGGGAAGGTGAAAGTGATCATTGAAAGTGCAGACTGAACTATTCCCATAAATATTGGCAAATTGCACGCACGAAATGTATGAATTTTAGTTGGAGAAATTGTTCTTTTATTTGGAGGCGAGGGAGATCAGGAAATTACTCTTTTATTTGGAGTCGAAGTAGATCAGAAGAACTTTCGACAGTTGAAGTAATTTTTTACTGTTGTGGATGGAGTTTGAGATTCGTAGATTTTGAGGTTGAGTTTATTAAGTGTTATGTTCTTAAGTATTTGTACTTTCAAATTTGTAATTTGTTTCATTTCTAAGTCATCACAGTTTTGTATTTACAAGTGTCTGAATGTCTGAATGGTCAAATGTCCAAGTGTCCACATGTTCACATGTCTACATATTCACATATCTACATGTTCACATGTCTACATATTTACATGTCCAAATGTCTGAATGTCCAAATGTCTGAATGTCCAAATGTCCACATGTTCACATGTCTACATATTCACATATCTACATGTTCACATGTCTACATATCTACATGTCCAAATGTCTGAATGTCCAAATGTCCACATGTTCACATGTCTACATGTCTACATGTCCTAACATCCTCCTCAAATCCTCAAACTCCTAAATTTCCAAACCTCCACATTCTTAAACTTCTAAACCTTCAAACTCCTAAATTTCCAAGCTCCTAAACTCCCAAATTCCTAAATTTCCAAATCTTCAACTCCATAAATTCTCAAATGTCCAAATTCTCACATGTTCCCTCTCAACTTCCCAAATGTATAAACACGAAACCTAGAATCTGGATCTTAAATTTTCCCAAGTCCTATACTCCCCCTAAGCTATCCAGCTCTCCCAAGACTTCGACCAAATGCAAATGGCTGCCATTTCCACCTCCCAGCCGAAAAAATTCCACCAGGCAGCATAATTGCATATGTAGCTTTCAGCGTTTGCTACTGCGATATCGGTGAAACTTGGCAGATAAATAAAGTCACCTTAGACTCGAAACGTTATAAATGGTCGCTTTCTAACCCTCCTCCAAGACCCTCCTTTTCGAATGTCGATCGAGTGTCCGAAGACGTGTTTATTGACCGTTTAAGATTTATTTACTCTTTCACTGCAATGAAAATTGTCTTTGACTATAAATTCAACCATAATCGATTAATTTACCCACAAAAGTTCATTGCCAAGAATATTTCGTGTTCGACGATCGTTTATGAAGCATCGAAAGCGGAGATTTCTTCGGAATCCTCGTAAAATTGTTCTATAATAGAATGCGAAAGATTCGAAGAGAGAGCGTACGATTTCGAACGGTTCACAGAGAAATCCAAGAATGATTATCTCATAACATAATGTTCGTGCATTTTATTCAAGATCATCGTCCGCTCGAATCATTGGTTAAAATTGATCTAATCACTTTCTATCACGCTAACATTAATAAGTGTCAAAAATGGTTGCAAACGTAATAAGAACACTGAAGGATAAACCATCCGTTTAGTGGCGGAATGAGACTTCCTTCCGGATTTCACATCGCAGAAGTGACCACAACTCGGTTAATTGCAGCTTATTATGCGAGGAAAAACGGAAGAAGGAAAATGAAAGTTGAAATGATTAAAGGAAGTGACTTTTTGCACTCTTGTTGACTACAAACTTATACAATGTTTGTCACTTGAAATTGCAACTTCATATCATTTTTATTTATTTCTATGACTTTTTAGGCTCTTGTTGACTATAGACTAATATAATGTTTGTTACTTGAAACTATTACTTCATAGCATTTTTATAAATTTCTATGACTTTTGAGATTCGTGTTGTCTATAGACTGATACAATGTTTGTTATTTGAAACTGCAACTTCATAACATTTTTATCAATTTCTATGACTTTTTAGACTCTTGTCTACTATAAATTAATACAACGTTTGTCACTTGAAATTGCAACTTCATATCATTTTTATTTATTTCTATGACTTTCTACACACTTGTTTACTATAAATTAATACAATGTTTGTCACTTGAAATTGCAACTTCATATCATTTTTATTTATTTCTATGACTTTCTACACACTTGTTTACTATAAATTAATACAACGTTTGTCACTTGAAACTGCAACTCCATATCATATTTATTAAGTACGTCTATTAAAAAGCTATTAACTAAACATATAAACCGGACGTTCATAATAAACTATTTGTACCAAACGAACGAGAGTGTTCGAATGTTTTTTAGTCCTCGATTATACGCACAGGTATGTTCTCACGAACGGTCAAGTTTAACTCCGCCCGTAAAGAGACCAAAAAGACTCCACGGTCGACACGGAATCGAATTCGAATGGAATTCCTCATCTAGAGAGAGTTCACTGTCACGGTCCCTCGATCCGCTAGGAAAAGGATACCTCGTTGCTCGTTTTCCTTTTCGCTTCACCTACCTCTGGAATGTAGTCGCACAATTTGGTCTGTTTGTACGTTTTACGCAGCAAGGTGATCAGTTTCCCTTTCTCCTATCGTTTAGCAGCAATACAAAACGATCGACTTACCGTGATTTCTATGGGGATCCTCCGCTGAGATCCTCCTCCGGAACCGCCGATCTTCGGTTTCGTGAAAGGGAATATTTTAGATCGATCGGTGAAACGGTGGAAAAGAAACTAGGAAGAATTTCTTTGGATCTTGTAAACAGTGTTTTGTTCGGGGTTTGCCTAGGTACTTTGATGTAGTAGGTTTTATATGAGTTGTTGAGAAGTATTTAGGTTCTTTTTGCGGTTCTTGGATTTGCAAAGTTGGATTTACCAATTCTACATTCCCCAATTCCACATTCCCAATTTCCATATTTCCCAATTCCCACATTCCCCAATTCCACATTCCCCAAACCCCATGATTTCAAATTTCAAACACCCCGACTCCCACATTCCCTAATTCCACATTCCCCAATTCCCACATTTCCCAAATCCCACGATTCCTAATTTCAAACACCCCGACTCCCACATTCCCTAATCCCACATTCCTCAATTCCCACAATCCCCAATTCCACATTCCCCAATTCCTACACTACCCAAATCCCACGATTCCTAATTTCAAACATCCCGACTCCCACATTCCCCAATTCCACATTTCCCAATTCCCACATTCCCAAATTCCACAATCCCCAATTCCTACATCCACCAATTTCTACATTCCCCAATTCCTAAAATCCAAAAATCACAAATTCCCAATATTCCCTACATCTCTAAATCCCAAACTCTTCAATTTACTACCAAAATAACATAAATCTACATTGCACCAGTGTCAATCCCAAAAATCCCAAATTCCCAATATTCCCTACATCTCTAAATTCCAAACTCTCCATTTTACTACCAATATAATATGAATCTGCATTGCAGCAGTGTCGATAAACTTTCAACCATGTGAGAAGCACGTTTCAGTACATTAAATAAAGACCGGAAGTGAGACGAGAAGTCCCCAACATTATCATTAGTACATTGGAATAGATTGAAACGCATGAGAAACTTTCTTAATGTATTCTTCGTGTTGCGAAATGTTTGTAAAAGCCTTAATTACTGTCCGCAGATTGAATTATCGATTAGATTCTTAATTCGTGTTATGCAAATGTCGCGAAAGCGAGTTTTCGAGCACGATTTAAATCGACTAAAGTAGACAAAATAAATGATTCGAAAATCGCAACTTTCCAAAGAATCAATTTGCCATAAAGATATAATCCCAGTAAAGATAACTGTATCGAGTAGAAATTAGACTAAACGGTAATTCAATTATCTGATAATTCATCGACACGATTCCGTGAGGTCTAGAGATATCGAATACTTTCTTTTTATAGACATAACAATATTTCGCTATTATAAATCGTGATCGAACATGAGAATGATGAGAAAATTTCAGGTTTAAAGAAATCGGAGAAAATAATCTTTTGAACGAGTCTCGAAGAAGATGATTACTAATTAAAATATTTAACGATACACACAAGATCTCACATGGGAGATGAAATAGAATGAAACCTGAAATTATGCTAGAAACCAAAAAAAAAAATACTGCAACTCTTTATTTATTTACGAATTTACCCCATACAAACAATTCAAAGATACCTCGTGAGATCAAACAAGCAAAAACGAACAGCATGAAGCAAAGTTCTAATTTCTCGATAAACACGAACTGTGAAACCACACAACAAATATTAAAGTCGAAGTTATCCAAAGGACCTTCACCTCGGCAGCGAAACCGAGAGTATCAGCATCGAAAATAAAAGATGGAAAACGAAGGAAAAACGGTACACGTAACTCGAAGACGCCTCTTGTCGAGCTGTCAAACCGGTGATAAAAAGGCGTGAAACGTGTCCTCAGCATCGATCTCCTCGTTCCCAGAGCCGAGAGGCGAGTGAAACGAATCTAAAAGAGCACCCACCTCGTATTACGAAGCTGATCTTGATCTTGGCCGTTCACCCAAACCACGTTCAGCTTTCATTAAAACGACCACAAGCACGGTAGGGAATTACGGCGTCGCGGTCGCAGAAAAAGAGGAAACGAGCAAAACGATAGATCGAGGTGAAGGGTAGAACGAGACACGTGGAGGGGCTGGTTGGTCCTCGCGCTTTTTGCCACGTCTTCTCTATTAACGACACCGTGCTAAGCCTCCTTTCACGTGCGCCGGCAACGGGTGCAAAGGATTCCCTTTCATTCTTATCCAACTCCAATCACGTACGTGTATAAAAGCGGCAAGCGTGTACACCACCGACAGCAGATCAAAACCGCGGCTTAAACCGCCAACTAGATCGCGAACGAGGAACCGGTAGTTGGTCCTCCGCCATAGTCTGCCTTTCCAGCTCAGTCGATTCCCGAGGGAACTACACGATGACCAAGCTCGCGGTAAGTCGATGGATTTGCCCCTGGGACTTTTCTTTTTCTTCAAGGATTCCTGTGATCCCCATGGATTTCTCTGATAAATCGTTTTCTATCCCTTAGAAATTTTAACAAATTGGTTTTCTTCCATTACCAGTGGATAGAATAACAGGCCCACTTTGGGCTCTGAATTTTTTATATTCTTTCAATCTAAAAGATTCGAAGGTTCTAAATTTTTATTTGAATTCGTGAAAATCAGAAAAAATTGTTGTCAAGTGTGATGATTTTTCATCATCAATTCATAATGATTTTTTGTACAATATCACGCAAAATAATAATTTGCCTTGGCCGAAATAATGATTCGCCTTGAACTTCAATGAACTCGAGTAAATTTGTTTCAGGCGTTCCTCGCGATAGCCTCGTTGCTCAAGTTGGCGTCTGCAGGCGGACACCACGGTGGACAGTAAGTTTCCTGCAAAGTATCTAAGCCTTCACAAGCCATAAATCAATAATAGTAACGCGGAAGTAGCCTTCTGAAAATCGATCGAGTGCGCTCAACGAGCCGTGTCCGAGCCCACGTGTTTCACGGAACTTTCTCCGTGACTTTACTTATCTGCAGACGGCAATAATTTTCTTCGGGAATTGTCGAAAGCGAAGATAAACGAGATTACTACGCTCGTAAACATGTCCAGTCGCGATAACTCACAAAGAGTATTATTATATTTTTTGCCATTATGCGATCAAAGGTTTACTTTACGATAAAACGGGTGAAGGTTGCAATTAAAAGCTAATCATTTTGTTTGATTGCCAATTAGTCATTGTTAGTGACGATTGGTTTAATTATTTGGTATTGTAGAATATCTAGAAACTTGATGGAAAGCTTGATCAGAAATCTCTGTATAATGGGAGTAAGTGGTAGTGAAATGTGCAGTTTATGTATATTTAACGAGTTACAATAATTGCATAGCGCATAATTGCATACAATGAATAATTAAGGTTAGACTACGATCTCTCGATTCTTTTTAAGAGCCTATTCTTCGATGGGAACTAGATATCCCATCACTATTCATCAGTACCCATCACTACCCAACGCTACTAACCACTACCTATGTCTACCCATCACTGCCCATCACTACTCACCACTACCCAGCAGTACCCATCACTACCTGTCACTACTCACCACTACCCATCACTACCCATCACTACCCATCACTACCCAACGCTACTCATCACTACCCATCTCTACCCATTTCTACCCATCACTGCCTATCACTACTCACCACCGCCCATCACTACCCATCACTGCCCAACACTACTCACCACTACCCATCTCTACCCATCACTACTCACCACTACTCACCACTACCCATCACTACCTGTCACTAATCACCACTACTCACCACTACCCATCACTACTCACCACTACTCACCAATACCCATCACTATCCATCTCTACCCATCACTGCCCATCACTACTCACCACTACCCATCACTACCCATCACTACCCATCTCTATCCATCACTACTTCGCATCGAACTTCACCCAAAACCATCACCTCAATATCTCCCACCCTCCAACTCATTCCAACCCAAAATTAACCAGCTCTATAATTCCAGCGACCACGTGGTGATTCACGTGCCCTACAAGATCAAGACCATCCACCACACGCACACGATAACAAAGCACATCCACCATGGCGGTGGAGGCGGTGACAAGTACGAGGTGCTGGGCTACACCGTCGGACATCCCATAGATTTAGGCCACGGTGGTCTCGGAGGTGGCCACGACCTTGGAGGCGGTGGTCACGACCTCGGAGGTGGCGGCGATTTCGGAGGTGGCCATCTGGGAGGTGGTCACATCATCACTACCCATCACTACCCATCACTACCCATCACTACCCATCACTACCCATCACTACCCATCACTACCCATCACTACCCATCACTACCCATCACTACCCATCACTACCCATCACTACCCATCACTACCCATCACTACCCATCACTACCCATCACTACCCATCACTACCCATCACTACCCATCACTACCCATCACTACCCATCACTACCCATCACTACCCATCACTACCCATCACTACCCATCACTACCCATCACTACCCATCACTACCCATCACTACCCATCACTACCCATCACTACCCATCACTACCCATCACTACCCATCACTACCCATCACTACCCATCACTACCCATCACTACCCATCACTACCCATCACTACCCATCACTACCCATCACTACCCATCACTACCCATCACTACCCATCACTACCCATCACTACCCATCACTACCCATCACTACCCATCACTACCCATCACTACCCATCACTACCCATCACTACCCATCACTACCCATCACTACCCATCACTACCCATCACTACCCATCACTACCCATCACTACCCATCACTACCCATCACTACCCATCACTACCCATCACTACCCATCACTACCCATCACTACCCATCACTACCCATCACTACCCATCACTACCCATCACTACCCATCACTACCCATCACTACCCATCACTACCCATCACTACCCATCACTACCCATCACTACCCATCTCTATCCATCACTACTTCGCATCGAACTTCACCCAAAACCATCACCTCAATATCTCCCACCCTCCAACTCATTCCAACCCAAAATTAACCAGCTCTATAATTCCAGCGACCACGTGGTGATTCACGTGCCCTACAAGATCAAGACCATCCACCACACGCACACGATAACAAAGCACATCCACCATGGCGGTGGAGGCGGTGACAAGTACGAGGTGCTGGGCTACACCGTCGGACATCCCATAGATTTAGGCCACGGTGGTCTCGGAGGTGGCCACGACCTTGGAGGCGGTGGTCACGACCTCGGAGGTGGCGGCGATTTCGGAGGTGGCCATCTGGGAGGTGGTCACATCGAGTACAGCGGTGGCGGCGGAGGCGGCGGTGGCCACATCGAGTACAGCGGCGGTGGCGACATAGGCGGAGGATACGGGGACGGAGGACACGGTGGTTTCGGTGGAGGCGGATTCGGAGGTGGCCACGAAGATTGGGGTGGCCATTAAATGTCAAGATTTGTCTCGATTTTAAGAAGGAACGTGGTGGTTTCTACGTTGTTGGTTTTTCGAAACGTCGACTCTTGAGATATTTATTTTGCCTTAACACTGAGACGATGGGTCAATTATGATCAATCGAAAGCATAATTTTTTAACGTATCGCTGAAGAATTTTTGAATTTCGAGTCTTCGCTATGCGAGGATAGAAAAAGTTACCTCAATTGCAATTTTAATCAATGTTACATATGCATATGTGACACTTTCGTGCGAGACCATAACTTTTTGTTCGTATACTTCAAAATGAGAGCCATAGCTACTATAAACGTACATAACTGAGTGGTCTATCTTATTAAATAGTAACTATTTATTACAAAGAGTTGAAAAGAGTCGTGACGTTTCGAAGAAGCAACCAGCACCCCCCAATCGCACGACACTTTCACCCTCCATCGAGGGAGATCGTTTTAGAGAGATTAGCTGTTTCTTCACTTTGACTGGTGTTTCCCGGGGGATGCTGATCGACTTCATCACCCTGTATCTTACCTCTCGTCCTAGTCTCTCATCCATCCGTTGTTATTCATCGCTCGTATTATTAATGTAAATATTGTTACCAATTTACTATTGTTTTTACTGCTGTTATACCGCTATCGTTGTTTAACCGCGACACGATCTATGTATATTAAGTCATGAAAGTTGAATAAATTGCGTGTGTACCTGAACACCCCCTTACATTCCATCTTTCATATCATATATTTAATCAATTATCTACAAGGTATACATATATACAAAATCGTATAGTAAACGCTATAGTAAAATCCCATAGTAGAACTCTATGGATTAAGTGTTACTCTTAAGATAGTTCTTCGGAGGCCATGATGTTAGGTACATCCAAAACCTTCTAAACTTTCTAACATCTCAGAAATCGTGATTCTTGATCCTGACAATTTTGTAAGTTTCATAATCCTTTGAGAACAGTGTTCCAAGACTACCAGCATCCTTAGAAATTCTATAAAATTTGCTAAGATTTTTGGAACCACGGCCTACGATTAGACTTTGATTCTCGAAAACTGTATGATACTCTAAATTCTATTAATTTTCCGAAGACGTCGACCCTCCCGTTTGTCCCTGTTATTTTCATACTCCACATCGTCCACAAAATATCTTCCAGCGTCCGTCTTCCCTTCGTACTCGTCCCTGGACCCCTCGTTCTCCGTTTCGTCCTGCTCCTCGTGCTGGTCCTCGTGGAATTTGCTCGTCTGATCCGCTCGAATGTGCCCGGCCTCCTCCTGCAGACCTTTCCTATACCCCTCTTCGTAATTATAAGAGAAACTTTCAACGTTCGGCGGAACGTCGTTCACATCTTCGTGCACAGCGTACGAGGGTTCCTGAGCATGTAGAACATCCTTCTGTTCGAGGTTATTATCCTCCACGAACGGCTGCGGGAAATAGCCATGAACTGGAAGATCCTTCTGGTCCTTGACAGACTCCTTGTGTCCTTCCTCAGGGTGCTCGTGCTGGTCCTTGTAACTGTGGTCGTAACTCTTCCAGGAGCTCCAATTCTCGTGGTACTCGTGCTTCTTGTGCGTCTTCGGCTTCTTAGGGGCTGGCTTGTGCACGTGCAGCAAAACCGTCTTCGTGTGGTAGTGATGGTTCACGACGTCCGGCACGTAGATCTTGAAGTGCAGCCTGCAAGGAAGCGAAAGTCAGGGGTATTCGACGCGAAAACGAGAGTGCTGGTCGTTGATCGACGCTCGTTTTCGTCGGTGAAAGCGCGCTATGTCAGACACTTTAGATCCGATCTGAAGTCTCGTGATTCGGTATTAAGACACTTACGCCGCGTGCATCGCGATTTTGTTCAGCGCGATGAGAAGCAGGTACTTGAGGAGGTTCTGGAAAAGAGAAAAGAATTCTATGAACAATGCAATTTTTGTAGGGTTATTATGTTTGGGAGATTGGAAGGATAAAATCGTAGTATGACATTGTAATAGAAGATTGTGGATGTTTATGCATTTATATTAAAGTCTGTAAAATATATGAATACATTATTTAATCTGGAGGATTCATAGATTATGTGATTTGTATTTATTTCGTAGACCTTGATCATAAATATGAATATATAAAAAATATATGTATATGTGTATGTATAAATGTGTAAACATTAGTAATCTAATAATGAGAAATATAGATTAATGACATTATTGTAAATTTATTAAAATTATAAATTATCTAAGTTTTTATCTGAACTGTCCAGAATTAGGGTAGTATGTAAAATCAAGAGAAAGTGAATTTCTAAGATTAAGACATTGCCCAAGTATTAAATATTCAAGACAGATCTCAAGAAAATCCACTGATTAACGAGTACAAATAAAATGAGAAATAACGTAATTAGCCTAAGATAAAAATTTCGAAAATACGATACCAGTTGCTGAAGTATGAACTTAATGACGCCATGAACGCAGGAGCAAATTTAACAGAAGATTAAGTTCTCATTACCATATTCTGAACGATGACGAATGATGATAACCGATGATAAAAGATGAACGGCCGCAGCAGTGGTTCAATGTCTTTTGACGTCGTCGAGGATGCTCCTCCTTTATATCAACGACGACGTTATTAGGGAAAATACCTTGGAACCGCGGAACTATAATCGAATCGTGCAAAATTATTCGGTTGACCAAGCACTTTCGCCGATCGGAGAGACATGCTTCATCTACCAATCCGCATCGGATATGCTTTGTAAAAACGCGTGAACATGACCGTCAAAGTTCAGATTTGCCGCAAGAAAATTGAAATAAAGTACAATTCTCTTATTTCTTTATTTTGTATTCTTTATTATTCATGTGTTATTTTGTACAACTTTGTGAAACTTTCTAGACATGAAACGTTAAATTAATCATTTCTGTTTTGTCAGATTGTTCTGAAGTTTATTTGCAATACGACGGTGATAATTATTTTTAAGTGTTTTCGAGCTTTATGAAAGATAAATTCAAAAAGTATATAAATAGTAACTGTAGATGTAGTAAATTATCGTGAAAGATATTTCGAAATTCCGCCATGTTGAAGTTAGTACAGAACAATGGCGAGGAGGCGCCACTAGAGTGTTCACATGTAAAGGCAATATATGGAGAGATTGAAAGACCACTGTACAGAGTTGAATTCATTTATTAAAATTGACAGAACAATAACAGACTTTGTAACAATAAATTATGAACCCTATATTTGATACATCTACTCTTTCAATAAATTATAATACTGTTTGAATATTCAATTGATGGACACTATTCTTTGGACTTTAATTTACGATACACTATATTAAACAGAGTTCTATTGTAAATTACGAGCAAGAATATATTTCTACTTTTCATCGGATTTATCGTCTTCTTTCGAATCCTTGTGATCGTAATGTGGTATGACAACGTACACCGTGTGCGTGTGCTTCATGTTCTTCACTCGATAAGGCACGTGGATAATTACTTTCTTTCTGTAAGGAAGAACATTAAATATAATGTAAAAGAATATAATATAATATATAATACAATCTAAATGTAATATAAATATAATATATAATATAAAAGAATAATTTAAAATATAGACTCCGCTTATTGGTACTCACGATTCTGCATGTGGTTGCAGCAACAACAAAATTGCCAACAGAGCAACGGTACACTGAAACAGAACAGATTTTCTTAACAAACGAAGAAAGATCATTTTTGTCAATAATTAAGGCGCTTTCCTACCAAAAGTTTCCTGCTCATTTTGGAGATAACTCAAGATTGCCAGAACGTTTGCCTTTGAAATGCACTCGAGGAGCGAATACTTTCTGCGAGTACCGCGTCAAACCTTTATATACTGCTGAAATTAGCGAGGCGAATCATATTCCACCAAACTCCGCCCAGTGTGCAAGGATTTAATCTCAGTTCTCTATGCCTTCTCTGCTTTCCACCGAACTTGGATATTTACATCTCGAGTCATGCAATCCTATAAACTTCAGGGTTACCTATAAAACTTTTCGTTTCTAGTATTCACATCGATTCACTCTCATTATCAGATCGTATCGAATGATTCTTCGCTTAGGCAGCTGTCCAGGACCTACAATTCAACTATCTAGAACGACTCGACAAAAAAAATTAATTTTATTTCTGTCAGAATTTTGTCATAAATTTCTTAGTAGGCTAAAAATTGCTATTTTTTATTACCTCACTTTGATATTTTTTAAAACATGTAATTGCAAAAGTGCTACAAATGAGGATTTCAACTTCATCTTAACATTGAAGCCCATCAACTTTACCTCACTTTGGTATTTTTTAAAACATGCGATTCCAAATGTGCTACAGACTTGAGCTTCATCTTGACATTGAAGTCCGTCAACTTTACCTCAGTTTGTTATTTTTTAAAACCTGTGATTCCAGCTGCAGCTGAAGTTTCGAACTTCATTTTAACATTGAAGTCAACTTTCTCTCACTGACATCAAATTATCGTTCACAACAAAACGATTTCCTCATGAAAATTCCAGCCTCCGAACGCGACATATAATTTCTAAAAACTTGAATAGCTCTATAAATATCGCCGTCGCAAAAACACAGAATATTTGCAAAGAGATCGATGAATTCGCTGGCAAAAACATTGTACAGACAGCCAGAGAGTTTCTAACCACTCAGAAGTAGCCGAAGAACTGACTGCGTTCAGGAAACTGCACGTTTTGTTGCAGTTGCATTTCTCCGCGCGTGAAATGCACCGGACCATGGATCGTAGTGTTAATTAACATTTAATTAGCGAGAAGATCGTCATTAGGATAGAAAGTAAATAAAAGACCACTGATTGATTTATGTCTTCATAAACTTCATACTCTTTCGGCTAGATTTTAAATTCTGACGAATTTCAAAGATGGAAAGTCCGATTTGATGACATAAGAGTATCGTAAGGTAGCCAGTACGAAATTAATAAGCAATAAATGTGATTTCTCTTCTCTAAAAAACAGACTAAATACAGCATTCAATCTAACGTAATATTTTTATTCTAAATCATTAGAAATTCAAATTTGCGATCAAAGACACAGCCAGATATTTTCAACTTTTATTCATCGAAATTTCTTTTCCATAAATTCGTATTGGAATAACAGTACATAAATTATTATCGTCTAACATGATAAAACGGAATATAAATCAGAGTTAAAGCAACTCCTTCGTCAAAAACAAATGAAAAATATAATATAGAACAGCCCTCTATATCGTTCTCGAGTCAGTCGAGTTCGATTGCTCCTTCGTTAACACAGGCTTCACGTTCCCAGGCTCCGTAGATGACTCGTTCTGAAAACGTTGTCCAAAGTTAGGAAAATATTCCTTGCTGTCATCTTCGTTCAATCGTGTCTCGTTTCTAACCACGTTTGTAATGTCATCAATCTTCCTGTTGACTTCCGCCCTGCTCTTTTCCGCTCCTTTCCGATCCTTTTCGTTCGTCCCAATTTCCTTCCTCCTCACTTGTATCTTCCTAATCACCCTAACCCCTTTGGAAGTAGGATCTTCCATAGGTTTAAAACCTCCATCCTTGTCGTCCGAAACGCTTCCGTCCAAGTTCAGATACCTCATCTTCTTGCTGACAAAATCGAGACTGTACTTCGGAGGACTCTCAGAGGTAAATTTATTCTCAAACTGATGCACATTGTAATCCTGCACGGGGACAAAAGGATTTTCCGCCTGGAAGTCTGAAGCGTTGAACGGGTCATGGAAGTCCTGGACGTACTTCAATCCAGGGTCCTCCGTGCCTGGCTGGTACACCTGGTTGAAGGAATCCTGATAACTCAGTTCTTTAATTTTCCCGTTTGGTTGAAAATTCCAATCAACTGCATTGTTTGTAGATAATGGCGAAGGTTGGTACGTGTTTGTCAAGTTGCTGTGGATGTTCACATCCACACCGTAAGTCTTAGGTACATTCCAGCCGCTTCCCAGGAACTTGTGGCTCACCAAAGGTTTCGAAGCTTGAACCTTATTGCTGGAGGACAGGAAACTGTCCGAAGCAACGGACGCAACGACAGGATGTTTGCTGAAGCTCACTAATTCGTTAGGAGACACGAAGGACTCGTGAGCGATGGCGGGCAAGATTTCAGGGTGCTTCGCTAATTGAATCGGAAGAGAGATATCCTTGCCGATCGGAGATTCCACCTTGGTGACCGGCGAGTGGGACACGAATCGAATCACCAGGTGATCGGGAAGCACCGGGTCCAGGAGTCTGACGTACACTTTGTCTCCCACTCCGGGGAAGTGGAAAGGACCCACCAGAGGACCCAACGTCTTCTCAGTCCCGATTAATCGCCGTATCATATCAATAATCGAGTCCAATACGCTTTTGTTCTTCGTCACACGGACGATGGGCTCGATGTGGATCTTCTCTGAGATTTTCGGAGGTCCGTGCACTGTCTCTATCGTTTTAGTTTCGCTGATGTCGAACGATCTCCCTAAACGGGACTTTTTGGCGCGTCGGTGAAGCTGTCTTCGGTGACGAGTGTTTTTGGGGCGATTTGACTCCCTTAGTCTGAACGTGGCGAACCGACTGGTGCGAATTCTGGGTCTTCTGTTGGGGAAATGCACGCTGGCGTCGATTTGTGAGCTGAAGGATCTTAGTTCTGGTTGGAGGGTGGTGAACGTTATCGGTGTTGTGCTGATGTTCTCTATCCTCGGTGGAGAGAGGTGGTTCTTCGGCTGTGATCGTCTGAATTGTAAAAAAATGTGATTCTTTGAACTTGGAAGGGGTAGAGGTTACTTACCTTCGGGGTCGTTCGGTCTCTGCACCGATCAGGGTCGATATTAACGCAGCACAAATCTGCAATGAACAAACGGTTAGTTGAAAACGATAGGACATTCTAACGATGAAAATATCGGAATTTAATTAACGGTTAGAACTTTAAAACCATGACTATTCTTTACAATAAAATTGATTGATCCACCATAACTGAATATCACAAATGTTCACCTCAACCGACAAAAATTTTCATAGCCATCACTCGCTGCATATTCCAAGAGTCTTCGTAATAAATTCGACCGATTCTCCAGTGCCACATCGAATAATCGATTCACTCACCGTGACCACACGCGCGATCCTCATCTCGCTGATCGCGTCAGGTCTCACTAGATCACTCGAAAGATCCAACTATGGGGATTGATGTCCATCGACGACGTCTTTTAAAGGTTCCCAAGGAGCCGCTATCGCAAGCGCTGTTAAACTGGACTCGACAACATTGTTTTGCTTGCACACGTGCCACTGGCGCTGTCGGTTTTCTCTGACAAGAAAAAGAAAATGATGTTACCTATTCTGGTCGAGTCGCGAGCAATTGAAACCCGCCACACTATCATCTTCTCTGATACGTATGTGACTGAAATATTCGATTAATTCGCGGCGTTCTCTTTGTGACGCTATTGGAAATACTTTTGTGAAATTTGAAAAGTTCATACAGCAGGTTCTTACGTGATGGGGTGTACACTTATCGAAATTGTTCCGTTTGTATTGTTAGTAAATTTATATAGACAGTAGTGAAAATAGACAGTTAATGAGAGCACGATGGTTAAAATATTTGAAGGGTAGTTTTGGAAGAATAATGTTTGAAAGTACGATGTTTGCAATGTTGATAAAAGCGCGGTCAAGAATGACTGGCAGTGCTATGACTTTTCATTTCCATTTATACTCGGACTGTATTTCGTGACTTGAAAATGCTAAATGTATAGTACGAGCGGAGAGAGAGACGCGATCTCGATGAAAGTGAATTTTCCGGCGTGGAATCGCTTTAATTGGTAGAATCAGTATGCAGCCTGGAGATACGAGCGCAAGGAATCAACATTGCTATTTAAGTAACTAATATCGTTAACCTTAATTCATCGGTAACGAAAGTAAACATCAAAATTTCTTGTTTGAAGCAGCTGAGCGGCACGCATCCGATCAGACCTGTTCATATATCAACTAATTGACGTTGAAATGAAAGCAGCGACGAACTTGTTCTGTCCATCTAAGAAGTCGCGCCGTAAGTGGAACCGAAGTGCGGCTATTAAAAGATTCGTTAAAAAAACATGACAAGTAGGTCAGACTAGATACATTTCGTAAAAACTTTGTTGAACAAGAGAAGTGCAATTATCGCATGAACGACGGTGTCAAGCGTGTACAAAATTCTTGAGGAGATAGGTAGACCTTATAGAACTTATAAACCTTATAGAAATATATTCATAGTTCCTTACAAATTAAAATTAACATTTGTAACTTCTCTGATACATATGATAATTAATAGTTTTATATGATGCAGTTTTAAAATTACGAAAATTTTATTTTTTTAATTTATGCGTGATTTTAAAGTGGAACCGCCATGGCCATCTATTGTAGAGTCTATAAACTAGCGAAACTGAAATTCTTATTTTTTTGACAAATTAAAAGTTTTCAACTATTAATAACGTGTATAGAATGTTTTAGGATCAGAGTAGATTGCAAATAATGGCCTCATGGTTTGTTGGAAGCGTTACAATTAATAATTATGAAAATTATAAATTGTGGATGTAGGAACACCATAACCACCTAGCGGTGAGTGGGTGATACTAATCGAATGATATTTTGCTTGATTACACTTTTTAGACTTAGAAGCTGAGTCAATAATATACTAATATGAGAACAAATAACAAATGAGATACAAAGTACAGTCAATTTTTATTTGTATTACAGCTTGCATCGATATAGATACTAAAAGACAAAAAACCCAAAAATAATACTGTAGAAATCATCCACTTATAAAGTTAGTCCATCTTACCGCTAGATAGTACAATACTGTTTTTAAATTTGGCGGTCTTTCAAAAAAAGAACCCCCATAAAAATTTAGGGGTTGTACAACTTTAACCATCCAAAGACTTACAAAATTGAAACCTTTAACTTTTCCAATTATAATTTTACAATTCCCTCTGCTATTTTGCTTAGTTTCAAAGAATTTTTATAGTTTGACCACCGAAAGATACTTAACAAATAGAACCATGTTAACATACATATACTTATATGTAATACATTTCACTTGTTAGACGTTTCTAAATCTATAATAGGAGATATTGCGAATCGATTAGACTTCAAAGAACCCATTATAGTTTAATTGTAATTGAAACGACGCTTTCCATCGAAACGGAAACCGTATGCAGCACTGTTGGGCGCTCCAACAAGAGCGGGATTCTTGTACTGGTGAAACGATCCATGAAGATGCGGTGGTCTGACCGCATTTTGTTCCTCCTCCTGCGATCCCTTCAGATAAAACGCTTCGAATTGTCCCTCAGGAAGTAGAATGTCCTTCAGCGATTTGTCGTTTGGGTCGTAAGCACGCGTGTTCGCGGCCAGACAAATTAAAACGAGCAAATTCTGTAATCATAAATGTTGTATAAAGACAAATCTATCGTTTGAAAGGTGATCATTAAACATATAGAACGCCGCGCGAAGTTCGAGATTTTAAATAAATATTATAAAATATATCATGCTTGGCAATCGAAGAGTACAATAAATTGGAGAAACGTACCATGAGTAAGGTAAAAATGTTCAGAGCCATCCTCATTCGTTTTCTCTCGTAACGCTGAAATAATTAACAAACATGCACGTGTGCGTGATTAAATTACAAAAAGAAATTTCTCGCATCGAAATGTTTACAAACATGCGTGAATCGTTAATTAAGGTATAAATCAATTTTATACCGTGAAAAATTTATTTGTTCGATAAACAAGAAGCTTGAAGAGTTCTAAGATCAAGATAGAAAATAGGAAGTAATAAATAAAGCGAGTTGGAAGAAAATCTCGAAGATTAATCCGATGAAACTAAACATACCTAATGGATTAATTCTGCTTTTACTTTATCAATATTTGTTATGCGGCGGAATCATTCCGCGGAAAGAGAAAAATAAAATATTTCGATATTAATGTATCTCTGCAGGAAAAATATTGTAAATATACCAGTTTTCAACTCGAAACTTACCAAACAGTTGTAGCAAAAGTGAAAGCCGCTCGATCGACCATACACAACACTACGGAGAACGTTTCTTCTACTTGTACACGTTTGTCGACCTTGTCACTGTTAAGCGCTCCCCACACTGAAGAACAAGAGCAACTTCTGAAGGTCCGTGGAAACGGAAGTCGATGAAAGTGGAAAACGTGACCTCGGTCTTCGCCGGCAGCATAGATTGCTTCTTTTTATTCTTCTAACTCTTCAACAACTTCTTTACACCGCTACGTTTGATAAAATAACTAACTCTTCGTTAACGACACAAATTCAACTTTCCTTCAAGTTATCCTTAAATAGAGTCCTTAATAAATGAAGACCTTAATAACCTTTGAGAATGTTTCAGATTTCTTAAAGACCTAAAAACAACATTTCACTTACGAGGAAATGCTTGTATAGCTAGATTCTACATAAATTGTATAAAACACAAAGACAATACTAGTAAAAGTAAGAAACTGTACAATTTATTTATACAAAAAATCAGGTATCCACGTGTAAATACAAAATCGACGAAGAAGTAAATAGAATGAAAATATATGTTTGTTCGGAAAATAAGACGTTATAAAAAGCTTGTTAGTATCGCAAATAATCGGACGTTCAACATTATTGTCTGTTTTAAGCTGTCGTTAAAAAATAGAAATTATATTAATCTTTGTAACGCAATGCGAATAAACTAGTTTCCTTTGTTAATGGAATACACTACTATCACAATGTGCAATGTACTTTATCTAAACGGTGCAAAACATCGATCGGTTGCCAAATTTATCAAAACTCATGATGTGAAATTAATGTCTTGTTCAGTATGTTCATTATCGCACATATTATATCTTAAAATGCATGTTACATTGGTACAATAAATACGTTGCGGTGTATCATGAGTAAAATATTTGAAAACATCTGGCATTATCACAATACAATGATATCGGTACACTAATATACAAGCTTCCCGGGAAACATACGTAGTTGATGTATGTTTGCGAATTCACAAACCTTTATATTTTGATAAATAAAATATACATTAAATATTGATCATTTTTTAGCTACTTCTTAGAGTGGTCACGACAAAATAAGAATGTTAGGTAACAGTATAAAATTACAAATATTCTGTTCACTTGTACATGAATTCATGATACGTCACAATTACATTATATTTACAAGTATTAAATATCCCTGGGATACAACCACGTACCATTACATATTACACTGAATACAAATAAGAATCTAACTTTGTTTTTCCCTTTGGAGGCGACGTAAAAGGCGAGAACCAAGCGATAGAAAATCTCCCAAATACAGCTTGAATAGATTTCCATCTGCTATTGCGAACCCATCTCGCTTCTTCCTTTTTAAGTTGTTCAATGCCCTGTAATCGATATTAACAAAATTTAATCGATAATCGTAAAATTAATAAAAATTTGAAAAGTGAGATAACATGTACTTACAGTTTCATCGTTCCAAATTGCCTGTAATTGTGTCCCCAACATTACAGCGGTAAAAATAGCAAATAAAAGAGCTTCAAAAGCCAAAAAAAGTAACAATACCACAGTTGCAGGTGGACTAAATGTAGAACACTCTTTCCACTCTTGTCTCACACAAGTTGTAAATTGTTGTATACATAAAAATAAAGATTGCAATGACATTCCAGCAATGTAGAACTGAAATATATTTGGTCAAAATGGATTTTTTATACCACTTTTAATTGCTATATGCAATGAAGCTTACCGTAAATAATACAAAATATTTTTGATTATTTTCTCCGACACAATTGTTAACCCATGGACAATGATGATCCATTTTTCTAATACATCTATGAACAAATGATTTATATATCCATTATCTATATTTTGATATCTTGAGAATTATAACCAAGATATTTATTATAAAGTTACCTTTGGCAAACAGAACAATGATGTGCTCTATCTGGTTTAATAGAACAACACTTTGGACACTTAAAAATAACCTGACCACCCCTAAATCCCATTTGTTCTATCATTTCTTTAGTAGCATTCCCTTTGGGAACAGCACCCTATACATATAACATACTTTCTTTTATTCACCGATGACTACATTTCCACAAAACTGTTTGAATATTATCCGTTTACTTACTGGATCTGTGAGCATTGTTCTTAGATGAGATGCGAAAGCTAGGAAAGTTAATAATTGAAATATCACTGTGTGTAAACTAGAATATAAAGTGTTTATTGTAGGTATAAGAATCACTGCCATTACTACAAATTCTGCATAAATTATTAACAACCATGTTAAAACTGCACAGATAATACCACATATATCCTGCAAAAGATAATAAAGTTAAGAACAAAATTCCACAAAAAGTAAACACAATATTAGTACACTAAACTATCGATATAAAAATCAGTGTAGTGAAACACTGAAACATACTTTAATGCACCATAATCTTCCACCATAACATTTATTATGAACATCTTTTTCTCTATGAAAAGACATGTAATCATAATCCATGTTTTGCGCCTATTTACTATTTTCTTGGTTAATAATAATGCAAAGGGACATCAATAATGTTTACTAACATAACCATGACTCTTTGCCTGCAATAAAAAATCGACGAAATCATCAGTGAAAGGTTAAACAATATTATAAATAATAATAACAGCAAATTTATAGGAAGTTAATTTTAGTAAGATGAACTTTGTATCATGAAGAATTATTATAACCTAAGAAATAAGTATTGAATTCAACACCTACACTAATGATATATCTATCAACTTTTAGTTCAATTTTCTTCATTATGATATTTTTTATGCATATAAGATGAACACCTGCTGATAAAATTGATTTTTTCCTTGTCACCTCTTCAGCAATTATGCCGAGCATGGATGTTCATCCACAAAGTGTTATGTTAATAACATATCTAAAACCTTCTCCAAGTATTTAACAATCGCCTCCTCATAACGGTTCAAACCTAGTGTTGTACAGTAAATGAACCGCAAATGGAACTCGAGTGCGTTATCACATGTAAAGCGAGATAGTTTGATTTCTAAACGTCATCAATAATCGCCATTGAAAGATTTGTTACGAACACACCTGATATGTATTTGGTCGGACAGGGGTGCAATGTAGGCTTCCTTTTGCTAAAAACTAGTTTAAGGGGAGGACCCTCCCATCATTTGCTTTCGATTTTGGAAAATCGAATATGTGAACTTAAAATTTCCAAGTTTCCAAATTTTTCAAATTCCCAAACTCCAAAATCTTTGAATTTTTAAGTTCCAAATTTTGTAAATTCTTAAATTTGTACATTTTTGAATTTGATAATGTGTCAATTTAAAAATTTGCCGATTACAATCCACACAGTGGGGCCTCTTTCCCCTACATTGCCATTTTCCCTAGGGAAGCCTACCGTGCCCACTACCGTATCCCCCAGAAATATTTGCGACCCGAGTGCATCGTGTTATTCAATCGAGATCAAGGAAAGTTTAATAAGTAATAAGAATGAACTTAAAGGATACTAGATACTACCGGTTCTAACATCGTCTGTTGTATTCTTGCACGCGACTGCAAGTTTGACAGTACATATTAGGGGTGGGGGACACAGTGCGCAGCCATATTGGCTACTTGTGACTTTTGGGAGGAAGCAAGTAAAAAATAACCCAACTTTTCTCGTTTTCAAGTGAAAAAAATGTTACATTTGAGGATTTTTCATTGATTTCACACGTTGGTCTTGTTAGCGCAAACATTATTATAACAAAACGTGTGATCATTTATACAGGGTGATCCTTTTTTACAAAAAATGGTATGTTACTTTTTGATTGATAAATTCTCCGACTGGAAATACTTGATGAGATCGTTATGACAATTGATCGTTTTTGCAACGTTTTTCTTTTATTTTTTTTATATTTTTTGTAGAGTTTCTTTGGATTTGGTCAGTCGGCCGACATAGAGATCACTTTGGATGGTGCAGAGACCAGGAAGACTGCAGACATTAAATCGGAAGATGGCAAAAAAGAGCGCCACTTGTTATATTATGACGGTGAAACCGTTTCTGGGAAGGTAAAAATTCTTTTTGAATGATCAAAGAAAGTATGAAACAAAATGTACCAACAAGGAGTGTGATGTATATTTAGTACCATCGAAAACTTCAAATGTTCAAGCGTAAACTATAAGCTGAAAGTTGACTGATTTATCTGTCACACGTTATAATTCATTTTTGTTATTTGCAGATTAATATTAGTCTTAGAAAGGCTGGTAAATTGGAGCATCAGGGTGTGAAGGTAGAATTTATTGGACAAATTGAATTATATTATGACAGAGGAAATCATCATGAATTCACAAATTTGGTTAAAGAATTAGCTAGGCCGGGAGAATTAACTCATAATACAGTGTATACTTTTGAATTTGCAAATGTGGAAAAACCATTTGAAAGCTACACAGGATCCAATGTACGGCTAAGATATTTTCTCAAAGTGACAATTGTTCGAAGACTTAGTGATATCGTTAAAGAACTTGAATTAGTTGTGCATACTCTTAGTTCCTATCCCGATATGAATAATCCTATTAAAATGGAAGTTGGAATTGAAGACTGTTTGCATATCGAATTTGAGTATAATAAAAGCAAGTGAGTTACATTGTCATATTAGTATACATTTAATAACAAGTTTTTATACAATTATTAATTTGTATTTATATTTTTAGGTATCATTTAAAGGATGTTATTGTTGGGAAGATATATTTCCTCTTGGTTAGAATAAAAATCAAACACATGGAAATTGCCATAATAAAACGGGAAACCACAGGTTCTGGTACTGTATAATTAACATATAAGTAGCTGTAATATTCTTTGTTATAATTTTAGTATTATTATAATTCCTAATACACTCTTTGGAGAAAGTATTTTTTTTTCCAGTTATTTATTTCTTACAACTTATTAATTCAATAATTATAATTAGAATACATATTTGCAGGACCACATACATTTACGGAAAATGAAACTATAGCAAAGTATGAAATAATGGATGGTGCACCTGTTCGTGGTGAATCTATTCCAATAAGAGTGTTTCTAGCAGGGTATGATTTGGCACCCACAATGCGCGACATCAATAAAAAGTTCAGTGTTAGATACTACCTTAATTTAGTTCTTATGGATGAAGAAGATCGTAGATATTTTAAGCAACAAGTAAGCTGTGAAATGCATCTGTACACTGTTAATCTTTATTGGACAAAGTACTACAAGTATATCTTTCTTATAGGAAATAACGTTATGGAGAAAAGGCGAGAAAAGTAGAAAATCTCAAACTGCTTCACCACATATGCCATCGCATTTAGTATCGGCAGAAACGGGATTCCCACAAGGAGCTGCTCAAAATGGTCCACCATCCGCGCCTCCGTCAATACAATCAGGCCAACTGCCATCCGGTAACATTACCAATGTAGAAGATACACCAGCTCCAATAGAAGGCATGACGCGCGAAGAAGGAGATGGTGAAGGTGAAAAAGAAGTTAATCCTGAGAGTAACTGAATTTTTGTAAATGAGGCAGTTACTAAAGTCAATGGAAGTTTTTACTAGTTCAGAGAATCAGTAACAACTTGGAGGAAATCGCACGGAACTAGTAGTTTCAAATGGAACTCTTGTATTGTAAAGAGATATTGAATTTTAGAAACAGCGAAGAATTAAAACGCCTGCAAACAAAGTTGTAAATATTTTGGATACCTATAAATAATGCGGGTGAATAAATCGACTAAGTAGCCAATTACCGATCAAAATTTAAAATTATTGAGATTTATAGGTAACGATCAATGATGTCTGATGGGACAGATCTAAAATGGTTAAACAAAAGATGTTACAGAAATTAATAATACAGCCACGTAAAATAAATATTTATAAACGGACAGTTTAATAATCGAATATTAATCAGTGGTATATCCTTGAACGGCATCTGAATGTTACAGTGTTCTGAATATTTTATACAAACTTATTCTGTGTTATGCGAACGATGCCTTCAACCACTAGATTATACTTAAAATTCGAAATCTCCTGTATGACAAATTTATGTCATACTAGAGTTTTATAAATCTGAAATGAATATACATATACTCACAATGGCTGCCCTATTTTAATCCATTCACCTAGTCTGCAACTAATATGATAAAGGCACATTAAAAAATGCTTGTACATTGTTATCGAAATAATTTACGATAATACGTGATTTTTTTAATATAAAAGTTTTTATTAATATTTGCAATACGTATGATTAATAATTAATACGTATGATTAATGATTAATACGTTAAGATACGTGCACATATTGTAACAACACAATATCAATAGTTCTGTCCCAACTATAGCATAACTGTATATACAAATTACTGAATTGTATATGCCAATTAATTTTTTAATAGAATTTTTATGCAAGATTCATAATACAAATCGTTCTTAAGAAATGTATGCCTTAGTATGCCTGCTCAATTTTAGCATGCCTTTATTGATATAAGAGTGGACTATGATAGATTAAAAATTGGGATGGCCCAACATGTATTTATAGATATATACATACATATTGCAATATGTGTGTGGATATATACATGCATATATATGTATATACATATACATATGTATATATATATATGTATTTGATTTTTAATGATAGCAGTAGTTAAAAACTGGGCTATATATACACACACACATTCATACACAAATATCCACCAACTATTGTAATACTACTGAAAACGGTAAAGAACTAATAAAAAAGTAAGAGGTTCTGTCCAGGTGGAACTGTGACTGTTACCACGATAGAACTTATACCAATATGAAACAGAATGCCTGTCGTTTTGTACGATTCTATGTTAACACCGATTGACTGTGAAAGAAAAAAAGATAAACACCAGTCAATCGCGTGTATTTTGAAAATTTTGTTTCGTATAAATTAAAGTTTTCATATTTCACACCTTTGTTATTTGTTGACAAAAAAAAAAGATATATGTGTAAAAGAGAGAAAGCAAAACTATTTGTGAATTATTTGACATGTCAAATATTGTATATACATATACATATTGTCATACAATACAAAAACTAGTTGTACATTTTAATGCCCATATAAGTATATTATATTATATACAGTGTGCCTTTGTGTGCACGTATATTGGAAACGATTACTTCACTTATGCATATACCCTTCCTATTGTTTTAATTAACATATATATAATCGTGAACTCTTTTTTTTTTTTTACTATTTATAACTTGTTCTTTTTATTTAGTAGACTATGTCGGCATAGAAACTCGGGCCATGACAATTTACTGCATTTAAATGTAATTAATTTTATGATAAATTTACGGAAAGTGAAATCGACTAATTAAACGTCAATTAAAGCAGCCCCAGCTTTCTAAACTAATTCCTTAATTAACATACCACGTGCCATTTTTTCCTTCTTTTTTACATAATTTCATTTATCGTAAAAATGTATAAAATCTCTTATATAAGAAAATTAACATGATAAAGTATAAGCAATTATATTAGTTATGTTACTTATAATTATTTACTAAAGATTTCTTTAAAATTGTACATTATATAAATTACCAATCGTGATTGTATTATTTCATTTGTTATAACGCAATATGAGAAAGATATTTTAAACAATAAATAAAAATGCCATGCTATTTAAACATTGCATAAATGTTTATAGAATAAGATTATTAATAGGATTAAATTGATAAAAGTGGAAAATCTGTAATAAATAAAATTTTATTGTAAATCGAACAATGTAAATATAATAATAATACTGGCAGTGAAATTTAATACTGTGATGACTTAAATTTTTTTAATTAAATTTTATCTATTTTCACTAAACGTGAATCATACATTTCTTATCGTATACAGTGCATGTGGAAATCAAGCTTAAATAAACGTATCGACAGTAATCTGATATGAAATTCCTGTATAAAAAATAATTCGTATGAGACTGTATCAGATACAATTTTATGAATCAAGTTAAGTGGATATTTCAGAAAGCAAACTTAGAAATGTGTTGAAAGGATATCTGAAACGTGCACATTAAAAAAATTATAAAGGACGGACTCAGCATTTTATGTAATTAATTCAATACAAAGTCTAAGCAGCATGCGCGCCTTTCAACGCGCAGATGAACTGTCTGAATGAACAATCATCGTCTGTCTATTATATTGCATAGTTCACTGCCGGTCAAAGTGTCATATCCAGCAGCAGGTTAACCGAAGATGGATGTACAGACAGAGTTGATCACGGATCTTCGTGAAAAATTTTTTAAAAAACTGAGCGATGAAGGACCACCGGATCCTAGTGTGTATACTTACTTCTGTTTTATAAACTTGATTTTCTCTTTTCATTTTCACAGTGAATAGTTGTGCTGATAAATATTAATGTCTGCTCTTATTCTATACGTCAAGGTCAATATTTGTTTTTACGTATATTTAAATATATATATATGTTTATACATGCAATGAATATATATGAATAATTTATAAAAAAACTTCATACTATGCCTTCTTACATAAAATTGATGTATTATGCATAATGGTATAAGTCGTTTTAATAAGCATTCAATTGAACATATTTTCAGAATTTCATCCTGTAGATATTGCCAAAATAAAAGAGGAAGATAGTTGGTTAAAGCGATTCTTAATTCACAATGAGAATAACGTACAAGAGTCACTGAATATGTTATGGGATACTTGTTCTTGGAGAAGCAAATTTGGCACAAATGGTAAATGAGCAGTAGATTAAATTAAATATGTTGTTTTTGTTCATAAATTAATGAACTTGTATATTGACATTTTTCACTTTCAAAAACATTGTATCAGTATTATCTAATCGCAGAGATAACAGAGGCAAATGTAAGAAAAGATTATATAGAAAGTGGATTGTGTTTTATTCATGGTAAAGATAAAGATGGTAAAACAATGTTTATTATTAAATGTAAATTGCATACTAAGGGAAGTAAAGACTTAAATGAATTAAAGAGAGCCATTGTTTACTGGTTCGAAAGATTAGAAAGGTAAATATAATAGGATGTAATGTCGGCTCAAATTCATTATTTTGGAACCAATGTATTTAACCTTTCAAATGATTTTAGACAAACAAATGGTGATCAAATTTCAATTTTTTTTGACATGGCAGACACTGGTATTTCAAATATGGATATGGAATTTACTAAGTACCTAATTGGTCTTTTTAAAAGTTATTATCCAAATTTCTTAAATTATATTATTATCTTTGAAATGCCATGGATTTTGAATACGGCTTTTAAACTTATAAAGTCATGGTTGCCACCTAAAGCTATTCCAAAAATTAAGTTTGTTCAGAAAAACAATATACAAGAATTTGTAGATCCTAATGATATACTTACATGCTGGGGTGGCAATAATGATTATGTTTTCAAATTTGTACCAGAAGCACAAAATAATGTGGACACTACATTGAATGGAAAGCTTGATAACAAAAAGGTATTTTATTATTATTTTTTTTTTTAGTAGTGTTAATTTTTCTGATGTTCTTCATTCAAAAGATTAATTCACTCTTGGTATTATTTAAGGTACATTTTGCAGAAGGTTCTCCAATGACAGAACAGTCTCCAAGTTCTTTCGGTGAACATAACATAGAAGAACAATGTAAGTAACAATAATATAATGTTCTCACTGTCTTTACTAACACTGTTAATATCTTTCAGTATTATCTATTGAACCAAATGCAATTATATTTAATAAAAATGGAAACGATATTGTTGGAACAATTACACTTAAGAATATATCCGCTGAAAAACCTTTGTCTTATAAGGTATAAATCGACTAATCATTGTATAAGAATCAGAGCGTATCGTAAATCCTTCTACTTTGATTCATAGGTAAAAACAACATCACCTGAAAAGTTTAGAGTACGACCAAGTTCCGGAATTTTATTACCTCAAGAACAACGTGTGGTTTCTGTTATCGTACAATCAGGATACAATTTGCGCGGCCTTTTGCGTAATGACAAATTTTTAGTTACGTGCCTTCCTTTGAAAGACGCAAATACATCGGGACCAGAATTAGCCGCTCTTTGGAAGGTAGTAATCCTGCTATAGCGCAGATGTTTTACACGATATCTAATTACTATTTCATTTATCCACAGTCCGAAAAAGCTGCAGAGGAACATAGACTCGGATGTTGTGACGGGGGATTTGAAAATAACGAAGTACAAAAGTTACAGTCCATGTCTTCTGGAATGTCAGAAAATGGTCACATAGATATATTATACCGTAAAGTAAGTCAAATTAATCAAAACATGATACATTGTATTAAAATAAAATTTATAAACAAAATACTGAATTACAGATAACACATTTGAAAGAGACTAACGCGAAGCTTCACAGTGATGTTGCTTTCTTAAAGTATTCTTTATTCTTATCTATATTAGTGACGATTGTAACGGCTATAACGATTGTTTACATTTTAAAGATTGATATTAAACATTTTATGGATCAACATTCCTATAGAGAGACCGGTCACATTCACAATGGGTTATAGGTTTTTTTTTTATTCAAAATGTATTTAATTTCTATGATCATGTAGTAGAAATTTCATTTAGATATTTATATTTATTAATGAATTCTTATAAGTTGACTTTGATTTTTTTTACTCTTACCTCAAGTTCTCCTAGTTTCTCAATGTCTTTGTTTTAAAGCAGTGGTATAACATATATTTTATTTTATATTTTATAGCAAACCCTCTTGGGCTTTGCTATACACAAACTAACACAGTTAATTTCATTAGGATATTCATGTATTATACGTTTCATATATCAGAGGAGTTAATGTATTATCATACTTATAAAAATACATAAATAATTGAAATTATTTTTATAACACTTCACATGTTTTTGTATACTATATATATTGATATTAATTTATCTTCTTTGTTATCTAAGTCAAAACTTATTAAAATTATCTCAAATTATTTTTTTTATCTTTACTTCAGTAATGTATTCTATATATATATATAATACAAGTTAATGCTGTTAGCAACAAGTTTATATTAAGGTATGAAGTAACATTTTTATAACTACAATTTATGATAAAAAAATAGAAATATTTGGCAGCTATATTTACATGTAAATACTTTGTTCATGAGGAGTTTATAAGCTGTGTTAATAAAGTATATATTGAATACATTTATATTCAATAAAAACTGTTTATTTGCCTATGAACTTAAGTTAGTATTACATTTGCCACCTTGTTACAATGAAAATTATAATGATACTATTATGCAATAAAAATGAATACAAAGATTAAAATA